TTCCTAAATTAACATATACATTGTATTTATTGCCTGAAAACATGCATGTTTAATGCTATTTAATAAACTAAACACACATTACATAGTAAACATTCCCCTCAACTTCCCTTCCATTGAATAAGTAATATGGTCACTTTTCCAGATTGCAGAAGCAGTACAGTGGTATTGCATCATATTTATCTTTTTTTGAATCATAGATGAAGGGAAAGGTATTTGAGGGGATTATGTTTGATGTCATCGCTGGCATGAACATTCTCTTTGTGGTTACATAAATATTATTTCATCTTATTATGTTAGTAATAGTAATATGTTATTTTCGGTACTGAAACTGCTGATACTGTATTCTGTTTGGTTCGTAGCATTGCTTGTGTCAACTCATGTCCAAGAAAGCATAGTGATCTGAGCACATGCTTAAACATGCTAAATATTCACTCCTGATAAAACTAAGTTGAATTATACCGATATACATGATTGAAAGATAAGCAATGTTGGTAAAAATTTAAAAAGTAAGGTATGCGTGCAGTGTAGATAATGTCTTCCACCGTCCCCAACTTTATTTTTTCTGGTTTCATATTGAACCATAATTTCAACAACAAAAAATTTAAGAATCCAAAATTTTGAAGAGCTGTAAAATTAGCACAATCAGTTAGAATTTTAGAAGCCAGTATAATCTCTGGTCAGTTCAGATTTGTTATTTCAACTTTTATTCTGCAAAAAGAGCGCATCAGACAGCAAGTTAGTTTATATCCATTTTTATTGCTTATTTATCTAGATTCTCAAAGGCAGGGTTTTATTAATTTTAATTGTTCGTCACTTTGAGAATGATAAGTGGATGTGATATTGGTGACTAAAATGTCTAGGGTTACATCAATGCAAGGACACTTTAACACTTTGTGATACAGTTTATACCGTAACAAAAATATAAAGTTTGTATTGTCTTAAATACGTGTAAAACAGTAACACACTACTGTATATGCTTTCTACTAAGCTTTCTCATCATACATGTGAAATATATATTTCTAATGGATGGAAAAAGATTATTTATGAAATGAGTACATGTATGTCTGAAGAATATTTCCAATTTTGAGGTTTCACAACTGTTGTTATTATTGACTTTGACAGATTGGTTTTTTGTTTTTTTTATCTAAAACAATTTTTTTTTGTTTTTTAAATGTGTATATTAAATGGCTTTTAAATTATTATTTAATCTGGGTTTCGTGAACAACAACTTAAACTAAAGAACCATTATGTACAGGCATCCACTTATCATTACTCAATATGACTATCAAAGTAATAAACATATTTTGTGTTAATGTTACAATAATTTATGTTTTTTCCTCTTACAGGGAACACTTGATACATGAGCCTCCAGAGGTGAGGACCGACATTATTCCCTCCCCTCCTGATCCAGAAATTACTCCTTTAGCATCCCCCCTTCCGTCACCCTCACATTCCAGAACCCTTACTCCAAGACATACGCCTATGCACACGCCTAGAATATCGCCTAGACATTCACCTCTCCCTAGTACCATGCCAATGCCAATTGGGTCTCATTCCTCTTTGTCCCCTTATCATCGTCAATATCAGCCCCATCATCAGCCCTATCATCGACAACACCCTGTACACCATCAACATCATCCCCGCCCTCAACATCAACCCCGCCCTCAACATCAACCCCGCCCTCAACATCAACCCCGCCACAGGCACCATCATGTTGAAAGCCCCCAGGATGAGTACTTTCCGCCAATGCATGGGAGTATATCTGATGACCCACGCAGGTTTCATCCTGCATATTCTAGTGGCAGGTTGACACCTCCTTCTACAAGGAGCCGATCCTCATCGTCACTGTTGCCATGTGTGCGAACGAGAGAGGAAAAGCCATACCAGAAGACAGCTCTTCCACTAAAATTGGCGCAGGCACAGGTCAGTTTGGTACCTTACTGATGTCTAGGCAAGGCAACATAGATTATACTACCCTACAGTAATGTGGAAAATAGTCAAACTTTCTTCCGATATAGCTACAAATCGTAAAATCAGGGTTGTCAGCAGTTGCAGGCCTTGATATTACAAATATGGCAGGTGTATTGTTATGTTTTGACTCTTTTCCATACCACATACCCAGACTAGCTAGTCCATATCAAAACCTGGGTAACCCCTTCCCTTTATGTTTAATACTCTCAGTTTTACCATCCAGTTATTTGTGAATTTTAACAGTGCTTTATTAAATTAAAGCATAATTTAATAATTGGTAGAAACAAAATATTAAAATGTCAAAGATCATGAATACTGGATGTTGAAACTGAAACTTGTTGAATATAGATACATATTTTTTTCTTTTTCTTTTTGTTTTAGGCCTATTTATTTTGATCAAGTTGCAAAAGAAAAGGTCTATGGATACCACCATTTCTCACCTCATTCATGAGGTTAACACACCAATATAGATTTACCATTTTTTTACCAAAACCAGCATGATTCACCGATTTAAAAAAAAAAATCACATATCTAAAATTTCACTTTTTTACCATATGTAAATACAACCTATAACAAAGTTTTCGAATGTAATATTTTTTAATGCTCTTTCAAAAAAAATTAAAACGGAGTTGACTTTGAATTTTCATACTAATTCACTGACTGCCTTGTAAATGACTTACTCTAAATAAGATCATAAACCTATTGCATCCATTTTACCTTAAAAAAATGAATCATGTTTAATTTCCCCAAGAGTTGACAAAGTTTGCATGTTTATTAGATTGTTTGTGTATCTATTAACTGAATGAAAGTAATGCTATGTTTAGGTAATTTACTAACCATGCAGCTCCTGTATTGAACTAACTTAGGCAATGGCTGTGGCTGGCATGACTTCAGAAGGAAGAGCACGCCATGGCAACCCACCCAAAGTTTGGCGTACACCGCCTTCTTCTCCGAAACGTGTTAGAGCATCATACCACACGCTGTCACCAGTCTCTGTCGGGAATCCAGGAGCCAACGGAGGCATTCCAGGAGATCGCCATAGCTACCAGATGCAACATTCAGACAGTGGTGATGATGGTACTATGAGGGATGCATCGCAGGCATTCTACAAAGCGCTAGAAGCTGGATCACTTTGTGTGCCACCTCATTCACCATATGCCAGGTCTCCAACCAATCCTGGGGATCCAGTTGGAAGTGCTACAAGTTTGATAGTGTCCCATGTAAGTTACTTACTCGTAAATTATCAAATTACCTCATCATAAAATAATAGTACACTCAACCAAATATAAAGCAAACCCAGCACTGTAAGTTCTCACCCTGAGCACATACTGTTGGTATAAATAAACAAAAATAGTTTTTCTCATAACTAAAAAAAGTCACTCAAACTTCATGGTTGGTAGCATTCCCTGGTTTATAAATAAATAAATAAATTAATGTGCTTGTGCTTTCACACAGCTGCATTTGTGGTCAAAATAAGTATTATTATAATTATCCAGTATACCGGTATGTGATTTTTGGTTTATATGCACTTAACCTGAAACACATTTATACTGCCCTCATTAGGTCAGCATTAGAAAATTTTAGCACGTAACAATATCTACTGCCCTCAGTGGGTCATAATGAGAATTATAGAAAGTAACTATACTGCCGTCCCTGTTCGGACGAAGTTCGAAAACTGGAACTATTAATTTGGGTTCGTTCAGTCTGTCTGTCTGTCCGTACGTACGTATGTCCGGAGCTATATTTCGGACACCCATTGACGGATTTCATTCAAACTTTACATGAAGACAATACATAATGTCTTACATATGCACATCAAGTTAGTTTATGATTGGAGGAAAAATGGCCGACTGGCGGCCATTTTGGATATAAAATTTGCTATTTCTGATACCTAAACGTGTCCGTAGCAGTTTCTCGGAGATGACTGGGTCGATTTGGATCAAAGTTGGTATGGTGATCATACATATTGGGTTATAGGAGCACATCATATTTTTTCCGTGATTCCAACAAATATGGCCGACTGACAGCCATTTTGTTTTTCATGGTATCCATCCTACTTTCTCTTGAATGCAATGAATGTTTCTCTTTAAATTTTGTACAAAGATAGTATACCAAGGGATACATTTGTACCAACATTATTGTTGTGATTCGATTCAATATGACTTCCCAATGTCCAATTTTTGTGTAAAAGCACTAAATCATAATTTTTTACAAATCCATCTCCTATTAATGGTTTCAATCTAATCTCAATGACTTCATCAGCATCAAATTGATATGTCAGTTCACAAAATTTTGGACGGGGACTGTGTCATTAACAATGACTTGTTAGTTCAAAATTAGATAACTATAATCCTTTGCCCTCTTCAGGTCAAATTGCGATATAGTATATGCTCTATTGGTAGTACATGTGTACTAATGTCATATTATGTTATATTATGTAAGTCATGTTTACATGATCCACCATTACAATTATTATACTGCTGTGTAGATGCATTTTGATTCATAATACAGTCTAGTGTACAATGTGTACGGCCATAACAAAGCTATATAATCTGACATATCTAATATAATTACAGGTTCTGGCTCAGGAAGGATTACACAGGGTTAGCAGGGATCCAGAATTTTTAAGAGCTGCTGAGCGTGAGATTGCAGAGGCATACAATATGTCACAGGCAGAAATGGATGAAGCTGCCTTGGAAATCATATCCTCAGACAGTAGTATCGCAAATGTGTCTTATTTTGATCATCTGGGTGGTTATGAACTCCAGGACTACACTCAAAGATCGGCTGGAGAAAGAACGTTAAGTCAGGATTACTTGGATTCTGACGACCTAGAGGACGAGATGGTTTATGTCACAACTTTATAGCATTGCCTGAATTTTTTTATATATATATATGTTGATATGGTGCTCAAATTTATCCTGCATTTTAAAAAAACAACAAAAAAAAAACAATGCAAAATTTATAGACACTCCTTTGGAAAAATATCTTGCCACCTACCATATATAATTTGCTCCAAAGTCAGCTATATATCAAGAGAGTGGATTGCTACCACATTAGTAGAGTCAGGAATACAAAAAGCAAACAGGAAGGCAGTGAACACAACTGTGGCCAATTGCAAAGATTCTCTGTATCATGTGACTTGTGACAGAGGGATAAACAGTGTAAACGAAATGCTGCAAATAATGACAGAATTCATTGCCCAGTGGATGCTAGCTTACCAGAGTGGAATTATGACACTGCTAGCATTGGATTATTGCTCTGCCATCAAAGGACAGATACAACATAGTAAAGTGAATATAGCTGCTGTCATTCATCTTCATTTGGAAATAGCCACCATGCTTAGACATTGCCACAAGAAGATACACATGTACCTTTTTTGAGATTGATTGGAGCACTGCTTGAAATGGATATGTTGGTTGTATAATTTCCCCCTGTTCATTGTACACTAAAAGTAGACACTCATTGAATGGGAGATTTTCTACTTTTTACATTATTTCTTCACCAAAAACAGTATTTTTGTCTTGCTCTGCTGGCATACACTGTAAGACATTTGGTCACATTTTCAGACCGTTTAGGTGATGTTTGTTTGCAGGGAAGTGGTTACTTTTCATACTTTCGTATTTTCCTTGAAACAAAAAGCCACTTTCATTAATGCGTGATACTAAATTAATTTTTTTTTTTTATTATGTGTTGCCAAAATTTAACCTTGAGAATGAGGCACAGGACTCAAGACGGCTGCCAGTGGTGCTGTTCTGTAAAGTTTATTTTTCCATAAATTGTTACTTAAATAATATTTATTATTTATTCATTGAAACTTTTTTAATGTATTTATTTGAAAAGCAGTTGGCTGTTTAATTGTACATAGAATGTTCAAATTGTCACAATGTCATGCACTTCCATTGTTTTTGAATCATTACAAAGTAAATTAACAAATTGCACTGCATTTTTTTAAATTATGGCGTGTCCATATTGTTTTTTGTGCCAAATATTTAACTTCTGTTCATAGTCACATTTTGCTGTTGATTTATTTTTGTGTCAGATTTGATCTTATAGTGGTGATACCATTTGACGTTCTGTCAGATACAACTGAAATATTGGTGTAGGGCTTGTCGGTAAAAATGAACAAAAACATTGACGTTCAGACATCAGCAATGCAATTTACATTACAAATATGTTGCCATGGTTACTAGTGTGAAGTGGATGTTGATAACAACAGGATTAATTTATTGAATCCTTGCCTGAGGGAATGTCAAAGTATGCAAATTACTTTGCCAAAAAGCCCTGCCATTGATTCAGATTAATGTACCCACCTACATGTATGCAATTCTTATCCTTATTGTTGACATGTAATCTTGATAAATGAAATAATCTGATATTTTCATTTGTTGTAACTTGTCTGATATTACATCAATTATCAGGTTTGAGTAGATGCACAACTAAGATATATTTCAAGGGTCCTGCAGTGTCTGTAATGCATTGACTGATTTGCTTACAAATGCACAGCAAGTTTTTGGATTCAAAGTTTGCCTAACTGGCAGCCACTTTTGTCCTAATGTTTTTTTGTCATGCCTTGGGTTATAAAATCTAATGCATGTTTTGTTGCGCAGTCTCCACTGCTGATTTTCCAGGTGAAAACATCACAATTGGTGGGTCACTGTCACTATGTATTTAACTAATTTTTTAACCGAAGGTTTCACAAAATTCAAACTTATTACACAATAGCCTTTAAATTTTCTCTGACATTTCTGTGACCTAAGCTACAGTACACTATCAAACTATTGTTACTTTCACATGAGCATCTTTCAATCTTTATTCACTTTTGTTGTGCAATTATGTTTCAATTAGTGGACTATTTACCATTGGTTCACAATAACAGGTTACTTTTGCCGAAGTGAATTTTATCAATATTTCTTTTGCTTGTAGTGACAGCATGTGAACATTTTGTGTCAGTTTTATCAAAATACCTTGTGTGAATGTTGATGTGAAATGTAAACTACCAGCCTTTGCCTGTTTGGTGTTCAACTAAATTTGAGGGAACTGATGGTCAGAACACGTTTAATAATGGTGCATTGTCTTTTGACTCATCTAAACTCAGCAGATTTGAATACTGCCTGTATGATTTTGAAATGGAGAATGAAAACCTGTCGGGTTTGGTATTTTTTTCAATTCCAGGCATCTTATCATATTTTTTTTCAAGTTATTGGTGCAAATTTAAATTTTTAAAATTAAATTTAAGCATGCAATTTTTTTTTTTTCAGTGATCATAATATGGGTGCAATGTGCAAGTTATGTACAATCAGTAAAGTAAGGCACAATATAGAGTACACACATCCTTCATCATCTGGTTTCCATGGTCACCGACACCATATACCCATTGAGCGCTGCTAATCAAAATGACTGATATTTACGCATGTTTTGAGTGTGTAGAGATAGATATGAAAGTGCAATTTGTTATTTTTTGAATGAAGTTTGATAATCTCTGTGAATGAACTTTGCCAGTCTGTTTTGCAGACTTGCTCTTTTTTTTTTTTCTTCTTTTTTTGAAGTGCAATTTGTCATCGAATTTGACTGAATGTGAATTCCTTGTTTTTTATTGTAACATTTTTTGTACAAAAGAATTTTGGCTATAAAAGCTATGTTTGATAGAAAACCAACAAATGCTTGATTTCTTGTGTATTTTTTGAGAGGACTGTAAGTTAGTACTAAAGTAACCCTCAAGTTGGAGATGTTGAATTGTTACTGACATCAAGTTACAAAAATGATCACGCCCAAACTCAATGTTCGATTGACAGAACTTTGAGTTACGAGCAACAAATATTTTTGTTAAACATCTACATTTAGTAACTCAAAGTTAACCAAATTTTGAATTATGTGCAACTTAAATTTTTAGAATTGGTTAACTATCAGTTAACCGAACTTAGAATAATATCCAATGTTAAATAATGCCCATAACTCAAAGGTAACATTTTTTTTTTAAACCAAAACTTAGTACTTTTTTTTAGTACTTTGCATTCTTGCTTATTGTTTAAGAATAGTTAAAAAAGAAGAAGTAATGATGGAGTTTTAAGAATAGTTATTATACAAGAAGTAATGATGGAGTTTTAAGAATAGTTATTATACAAGAAGTGTGGTAACACACTATCTTCAAACTGATAGTATATCACCATATATTGTAAATTGAAATTCAACATTGAGGGCGCTGTCAAAATATATCACATGGAGTGACTGCTTTTGAGAAGGTGAAAATTTAACATCGAGGGTGCTGTCTCAAAATATCAAGTTTGTACGTTTTGCAATCTCAATTAAGGGGAATACTTCAAAAATATGTCATAAGTGAACAATATTTTTGCTTCTATATACGCACTGCATACTCTAACGGGGCCATTGTTTTCATTTTCTGTTATATCGCAAAAAATAAAAGAAAAATGGCAAAACATAGGCAAGAATGAAGGTGCATCACCACACACCATCTAAGGCCCCAACAAAATTCAATTTGCTAATGGTCTAGATGCACATAATTCAACATAGAGGGCCAAAAAACAGTTTTCACATGCTGTAGATTCCTATACTACGATACATTGAGGGCGCTGCATAAACAAGGTTGGTTACATCCCATTAATCAAGTTGGTAGGAAAGATGCATCTCGAAATATGATAGGAAGTTACTGAACTGCTCTGAACCACTTGTCTTCACCTATCCTATAAACCATGGCTTCTAGTGATGAAGCACTTCTACCACGTAAAATGGGTGACAATGAAAGTTATTCTAAGCAATTTTATTTTTGCCTTGTCCATATCATAGCTCACGATTGAGGAGGGGTGTGGGTGTTGCCCAAGTTCACTACAGGTCTGTGTTCTATGTATATTTTTCAGGATATTGATTAAATTTTACAAAGTTTTGTGTCACAATAACTCGTTTATATGCTCTCCAAGATCTGTCAATTATGTCTACTATTTGGCTAGTTTTTATTGTTCAAACTGACAACTAACATTGATAGTGAATAGTTTTTGTTCGGAATTTACTTTGTTACAAGCAGTACTGGTTTCTTTGTTCTCCATAATTTAGAGACAAGTACAATAATCAAAGTGTGGAGTACAACTTTATCCTATTTAAACATGGTACATTTCTTTTAACAGCAACACTGTTGAGATATGTAGATTTCATTTTACTGAATGAGCTAATCAGGTGATTGAATGCAACATGTACTTTACTATGATGCATACATCATTCAGGTGCTATTTTCACAGGCCATGTTATGTAAGAGAAAATGAAGCATTTCTGCCTTTCCCAAACCATGTCAGCAGGCAGGTAATGTAATGCGAGTGACCAATGATCAAAGGGGGGGCTAGCTAGAGCAGCCTCTCTAGTTTATGTTGTCACACCATTATCTACCACTATTTAAGTTACACAAAGTAGGGTCAGAATCTAAGATGCCAAGCCACAGACACCCCAAGCCCAATCAGTCCTTCTAGATACAGGCGAGAGTTAAAGAAAAGACAGACATTATTCCATCATACATTTGCCTGTATTTACATTACATGGCACACAGAGTCATAGAAACCAAATTGCCCAACGTTCATACAAGTTTGTTACTTTGCAATCTGGAATTGAGGAATGAGGAATTGTTGTACAAGCACACTCATATACATTCACACTGCTTATTCCACTAGCCTTAGAAGATAAGACTGACAACTATGAAAATAATATTCTCATAATAAATATTATTAATGATCTCTTGAATGATACCAATACAAAATTAAAAGACAATTTTTGTTCTGTTGATAGATTTATAATAATTCTGGCAAACTGTATTTGTATTTATTTTGTGAGATTTTGTCACACTTGCTGACATTATTGAATAAATCCTTTTTAAGAAAAGTTAGACAGCAAGCATGATGACATCTTATGTGTAATTTGTACAAAAAAAAAAATGGTTGTGATGCCAATGAATTAAAATAATCACCATCAACAAAAGAAATGTTTTTTTTTCCCTGCCACAGGAGAGAAAATAAATTGACTCTTACTGTGGCAATATGTAGTTATTTTGACCTGCAGGATTGATCAGCTCGGATTTTTGGTCAGTGACTTAATGAATGAATACACTTAACCCCACACACAACCTTCCAATATTGTGTTCTCTGCTGGTCATTGAACAACAACTGCCAGTTCACCAGCCCTCCCCCAAATTGTCTTTATATAAACATAAATTTATTTTCAGACAGAAAAATCGTAAAATCATGAAATTCGAAGTCTTCCACTGTTTCACTCATGGTTTCTGTCAAATATAAACGTCCATAACATTGATCTTCACATACTGCATATAGAACAAAGTCTACTACTTAAGAAAGTTGTTTACTACTAAAACCAAACGTAATAAGTTTGACTATTCATTGCTTGAGCATTATTAGCTTCCAGAAATGTGCAAGTTTAGTTTCATATTGTGACATTTTTATCACAGTGATATCGTTTGATATATCTGTGTCATGTACCCTCGACTCTACCTGCTTCTATCAGAGTTTAGGATACAAATCTGTATTTCTCATATCCCTGTAAAATGATATCCACAAGGTAGGTTAAAGATGCACTAGATGTCCTTGTGTGGTTTTCCCTGGATTATGTCTGTGTCGATTTCTTCTCATAGCTCTTTCTTACAAAGATGCAGCCATTGTCTGATCTCATCTCTTTAACTTGTCCACGTCTCACTGGGAATTGTCATAGTGCATATGAATGAATTTTTGTACATCAAATCTGCAATCTTCATGTAAACCACTTATAAACATGTCAAAATAACTCCATAACGCTCAACTCGCCTCTTTTTTATTTTCAGCTCTGCAGTCTATGCCAACTCATGTAGATGATTGTTTGCCGACAACTAATCTGCTATCTTTTGTTCTCCTAGTTTCCACACTGTTTCACTGTTTCATATATTCATGCTCAGCTTTTTCTTTTGACAGTGCATCATATTTCCATTGTCATTGAATCTTATTTACCCTATGTTGGTTGATGTTGTTCATGGATACAGACGTTTGTAACAATATGTCACTGACTTTTTGTGAAGGTTTTCTCACTGGTAACTCCTTCCTGGTTTTCTACTGGTCCTTTTTTTGAAATTGTTACAGACGACTCTGCGCGACTAGTTGCGAGGATTTTGGCAAACTAAACAGTGTATCACAAGCTCCAATTCATAGTATTTACTGTCGGTGAAGTTGAAGCAGTTGGAGTTATCAGTATACCTCTTGTCAAAATAGTCAAAGACAGTTTCTGTAAGCAATTTCTGCAATTTTATTGTCTCTTCTACCCTGACCTACCTAACTAAACTTGTAACTCAACTCAGTTGGTACATTATTTAGCTGAGGTGAATGGTATATGTAAACAACAAACTATTTGGGGAGCGACAAAATATTGGATGAAAGTAATGCTGGATGTTTACTGCACAGTGAGAAGTCTTTTTGGATTTTCAATCATCATAGTATTAACATCATCCTGTGTCAGTCCTCGTTTCAGCATAAATGGTACAATATTCTTCAACAGGTATTCATACCCCTCTCCTCCATATTTAACAAGACGTGTCTTGAATGCAATATCATGAGACATAACAACCTACAGAGAACAATGCATGAATGGTTTGATTACAATTTGCGTGAATACCGCACATGAATGAAATGATTACATGCCTGTTAAAAGTGGAGCATCACCTACCTGTTTTAGAAACCCATAATCCCTTAATTCACGGATCATGTGACACCGAGTAAAATCGCTTGGATAATCCATACCATGTGACAGTGCATGCACCATGGAACAACCCCAACCAAACTGATCAAACTCTAATATGCATCCTTTTTTTGCCAACTCAATCATCGCTTGTATGGAGATGACTCCTCTGTCCATGTGACCAATGATAACTCGACTCAGATCTGCACCTTCTGATTTGAGAATGTCCACTATTTGGAATGGAGATTCAATTGAATAGCCTGTGTGGTAAAAAATGAATATCAAGCAAACCATCTTTTACCAATTGTTGCAATTTGATTCACACGTGAATGAACCATTACCATCAAGAAATTATAAAAAATTTAAAAAATTTAATTTTTATTTTGAGAAATCAAAAAAACAAGCATTAATAATGCATCGTCCCCGTTATGGCGGGGGAGTCGCCACCTGCACATGCGTCAGATGGCCATAGCGTGTCATTGTTCACAGACAAGCATCTACCCATGAGCCTTTGTGTTTTTAACGTGTGTTGTTATCGTCGCTTGGGACTCAATTCCCGTGCTTGCGTAGGTGACGACCCTCCCGCTTTAAGTATTAGGTGTAGTCTGTTTAAATGTTCAGTACAAGTGACATGTAGAAATGAAAGATCAATGTTTTTTTTTAACACTAACACAGATTATAGATTGTGTTACTGTCAGTATAGTACCTACGTGTAAATTGAATTGGACTATATCTCACAGAGGAAATAGCATGAAAGAAAATCGTAGCCAGTCTGGTTTTGTTGTTCAAGAAACAGTTTTGGACATGTTACAGAATGATATTTTATGGATTTTTTGACAAAATGGCCAAATGATCAAATCTCGAGACAAAACATGTTGTTGTGTTACCTTGCAGTTTACTACCTATGTACAAACTTTCAAGTGAATCAGGCCATATCTTTCAGAGGATTCAGCACAAAAAAAAAACAAACAAAATGGTCGATAGTCGGCCATCTTGGACCGAATCTCAAAAAAAGGTGACGTGCACCTATAACCCAATATGCATGATCACCATACAAAGTTTGATTGAAATCACCCTGTTCAGCTCCGAGAAACAGTTTCGGACACGTTTAAATATCAGAATTTAGCAAAGTTGAGAAACAAAATGGCTGCCAGTTAGCCATATTTAATCGAATCATGATGAAAATTGGCGATATGTAGGTCACCATACATTGTCTGTATGCCAAGTTTGAATGAGATCTGTCAAAGGGTGTACGAGAAATGGCTCCGAACTGACGCACGGACAGGTGAAACCCAAATTAATAGTCCCTGTTTTCGAACTTCGTTCGAACAGGGACTAAAAAAATAATATTAAATTACTGTTATGCACACATTTGAATGGCTGCATACCTAGATGACATGCATATAGACAACCCCGTTTCTCACATACCTAGATGACTACATACAGACAACCCTGTTTCTCACATACCCAGATGACTGCATATAGACAACACTGTTTCTCACATACCCAGATGACTGCATATAGACAACACTGTTTCTCACATACCCAGATGACTGCATATATACAACCCTGTTTCTCACATACCTAGATGACATGCATTTAGACAACCCTGTTTCTCACATACCTAGATGACGGCATAGAGACAACCCTGTTTCTCACATACCTAGATGACTGCATATAGACAACCCTATTTCTCACATACCAAGATGGCTGCATATAGACAACCCTGTTTCTCACATACCTAGATGACTGCATATAGACAACCCTGTTTCTCACATACCTAGATGACATGCATATAGACAACCCCGTTTCTCACATACCTAGATGACTGCATACAGACAACCCTGTTTCTCACATACCCAGATGACTGCATA